AAGTTTAAGCAAACTTCAATTCATGAGAAGTTAATTTGCTTGATATTATATCCATCAAATTCTTTTACTATTAATTGGCAACCAAAAGTATCCAAACATAATGATATCATTTGTATGGACACACACACAAACAAACACTCTCTCTCTCTCTCTCTCTCTCTCATTGTGTCTTATTGTAGAACATTACAAGAGAAGAATTCAAGAACATCTTGTTAAATCAAGCAGACACATTTGGTAAAATATCATTCCATACAATAAATAACATGGTAAAAGGACTGAAATTGAACCAAATTTGGTCAAGCGAGAATTCAATGGATGAGTATTATTGACAACTGATTGGGAATTTTGAAGCCAAAATCAAAATGCATGGGGACTGCAATTTTATAGAAATAAAACAATGTAAAAAAAAATGAATGACATTTAAACTCTACACTCATTTCTTTTTGTTTCAGAAATTGATAATATTTAAGATGAGAATAAGAGAACCAGAAGCAATTCTAAAACAGGGTTATTTGATATTAGCTTTTATATAAATAAAAGCAAATAATATATTATTACCCAAAGCTAAGAAAATATATATTCTTTTGATTATAACTCTTTGGGAAATAATTCCATTTCATAAGACAAAGTATATTTTGGAATTGGCCGGGAGAGAAGAATCAATGAAAACACATAAAAATAGATGTGCAAAGTTTAGAAAAACTTTCTGATTATAAAAGATATTAAATAAACAAAACTTGTGCTGAACATAATAGTTGATCTTTTTTTTTGTTTTAAATGAGTGTAGAGTCTTTATATACACTTCATATGATATATTGTTATTTGTTATGAAATAAGGACTTTTTAACTTATTATTGAAACATTCACTCAAATAAAAACAGTCATTCTAAGTCTAGAAAACACCAATGACGCTCTGAGGAATTTTTTCTCTTTGGTAATCTGTACCTGGTTTAGGTAGGGGTTCTGGAGCTGAGCGGGGTTCAGCTTCCGTTGCCAAAACATTTCCATCTGGAGAAATAATAGTCACAGATATTCACTTTAGACAACACAATGTAACAGAAACACTTTTCCAAGTTGTTCATTCTTTTATAATTGATAAAGGAAACATGAAATAACAAGAGTAAACAAACAAATAAATGATTGAACCTATTTCTTAAAAAATTTCAGTAAATCTTAATTAAGATATGGTTTCTATTACAAATGCATTGTACTTTGTTATAATAATATTATTTCTATAATATAGAAACGTGTTTTTAGTATATGTATGGTTGTAAACCTTTCTTGATATTTTAAATGTTTGTGTTTCATGTGTATCTCACCAACGTTTACTGAATCAGCCATTTTGGATAGATTAAATTTCCTTTTTCTGAAAACAAATTATTTCAGTAAATCTCTATCTCTATAAAATCCTGAAAAACAAGATTTTGGTATTATAATTTGTTATATCTCGTCGCCAGTCGTTATATCTCGCAAAAAGATATAATAACAAAGTAAACCCGAGTGGTGGTTTAAATAATAATACTTTATATCGGAATGTAGGAATGTCAAAATACAGAGACAGAGTAGGAGTAAGCTAACCGAATGGTGTAGTCAACGAAGACCTTTGTTGTCGCTCTCTCTACTGTTTACTGTGGTCGAACTTTATCGGCCACCGGAACGTCCATTTATGGTGAATGGGGAAGTCAGGTTATTTCATCACAACATAATTAAATATAATGAAGTAGTATACATTACAAATGAAAACACAAAACTGAATCTATCATATATAACATGAGATTTTATTTTCACTTTGTACTTAGTTACTGCAGTTTGTGTAATATAAGAACTTTAAAAGCTGTAATAGAAGTCAGAATTTTTATCCAGAGCCTAGGTGAACTTAGATATTGTTGGTGAAAAATCCACTTATAGGAAACCTAGGACAGTTTGGTATGTTGCATTTTAAGAAAAATAAAATAAAATTATTATTAATTTTGTATCAAATCTTGCTTTTTGATGGCAAAAGTGATACCATGGCATAAAATCACAAACAGAAGAACCAAGAAACTTAAAATCCCAAATAATTTTAACATTAAATCTTTTAGCTACATTTAGTGGGAAATTCTGAATATACAGTGGGATGAGTGGGGGGAAACAAAAACTTAAATCTGTTGAAAACCAAAGAAGAACGGGTGCTCCACAGAAGATTTTTCCAAGATCTTTGAGGAAATTAATGCATCAAATTAAAAAAAATCCAGTGATTACTTATCAAGAGTTGCAGGATGATTTGCTTTCATCAAGAATCTGTATCAATAAACGGACAATAAGCAATGAAATTCATTACGCTCCCCTCAGAAAACTCCAGTTATAGAAAAGACACAATGATGCCTGGTTGAAATTTGTTCATGAACATAAACATAAGGAAAAATCATATTGGGAAAGAGTATTATAAACAGACAAAAGCAAAACTGAGTTGTTTGGATGTAATTCTAGAAAACATGTATGGAGGAAAATTGGCGATGCTTTCAAACAAATGAACACAGTTCCAACAGTGAAATTTGGTGATGGCAGCATCATGGTTTTGGGATGTTTTTCTGCAAAAGGTACTGGCAACATATCAGTAATAGATGGTAGAATGAATGCCACAGCATATCAAAATATTTTGGAAGCAAATTTAATGATTTCAGTTGAAAATCTTAAACTTCCTCCTGATTGGATCTTCCAACAAGATAAAGATCCTATGCACACTGCAAAGTCTACAAAGAAATGGTTTGCTGAAAATAATGTAAATATCCTGAAATGGCCAAGTGACTCCCCAGATTTAAACCCAATCACGAATCTGTGGTATTATTTAAAAATTCAAATCCAATCAAAAGCTCTAGCAAACATCCCAGATCTGAAGACCATATACGAAGAAGAATGGAACAAAATAGCAACTAAAATTTGCAAATCATTGAGAACTACAAGAAGAAGTTGGTTGTTGTAGAAGTGAATAATGGCTATTCTATAAAGTATTAAATGAAGATAATGTATTCTTTTTTGTATTGTACGAATACTTTTTTCTACCATTAAAATGGATAAATGGCATTTATTTCTATTAAATCAATTTTTTTTCTGTTTTCTATGCATATTTAGTTATTATGCATCTGTGTACAGTTAATTATATGAAAAGTATGTTCATTCATTAGTTGGAAATACAATAAATTAAAAATTTGTATGCGTGCAAATATTTGTTTCTCCCACTGTAAATGGTTACATTATTAAAATTCATTTCTTGATCTAAGAAGCTTAAATGAACAACTGAAAAAAAGATACTTTATAATTCACACATGCCAACATATATAAACTTATAATACAAGTACAATGGTCTGCCTGATGGCTATGGCAATTGTGTATTTCCCTTGAGTGTTTAATTTTAAAGTAGGTAACCAGATTTTTGCACTTGGAAAATCTACTTTTCCCATCTAGACTTATGCTAAACTACCCAAAACACTTGTACAAATATATATATATATGCATTTATATTAAAAATGCTAAACTGAAGCAAAAAGTTTAATTGAAAAAATTGCAACATAAACAGAGAACAAAGATTATTTGTAATCAAAAAGCAAATTATGCAAAATTTTTTTGAACTGATTCACTTCTAGTTTTCTTTGAAGAACCAAACATTCATTTCTCTCCCTCTTTGCCATCACCATTTTTTATTTTTTCATACCTGTCTTTTATCATCTCTTTCTCTCATTATCCTTTCAATTCTTGCTTTCTTTTTGCTTCTTCTTTTGTTCTCCCTTAATTTTCTCCTTTCTTTCCATCTTCTCTCCTATTCACTCTTCATTCTTCCTCTTTCTTTTTCTTTTCTTTCTCTCTTCTTCTTTGTCTTACTTATTTTTCTGCTTTTACTCCTTGTATGTTTTTACCTATTCCCTTCTCTATCAATTCCCTCTTTTTCTTTTTATTCATCTATATTTTGTGTCTATTCTCTTCTCTCTTTTTTTCTTAGTATTTTTTGCCTTCTGTCTTTCTTTTCTCTGTGTTTGTGCTTTCTCTTGTTCTCTCTTTATTTTCTCCTCCTCTATTCTTCCTTTCTCTCTTTATTCTGTTGTTCCATATTTTCCCACACTTTCTTCTTTCTGTCCCTCTTTCTTTTTCATCTTTCTATTCTTCTTTATTTCTTTAGTCTTCCTTTTTGTTCTTTTCTGCTCAACACTTCTAATGTATTGTCAGTGGTTAACTAAAATCCTGCATAAAGACAGACCTTCAGTTTTATAAAAAGCAAATTGCAGATAAGCAATTTCAATGAAGTTGTAATTGGATACATAAACTAACATGGAATTGTAGAAATCTCTAGTTGTTCAGTAAAAAACAAGTAAAAGTTGAGTGGGTGGTGTATTCATTGCCTCTAAAAAGCAAAGATTTTCCAAAAACAAAATGGAGCTAATTACTAATTTTTCTTGATAAATGTCATCTGTTTTTCCAGAAATTACTTATCAATATTTTGAAATTGCTTCAGTTAGAATTTAACAGGACAAACATTTACTTATGAGCAATTTAATTAAATTGTTCAATGAAACTTTTGCTTCAGTTTAGCATTTTTAATATAAATTCATATATATCTTTGTACAAGAGTTTTAATTTTATAATAAATTCATTTTAGTGTGATAATTAATAGCCAAGGTTAAACAAGAAATTAATGTTATGAAGATTTTGGCAATGTTGTAAATATATATGTATGCAGATGTGTGTGTGAGGGAGACAGACTGAGAGGGAATATGAAAAAGTTCTGGAGAAAATGGTGTCATTTAAATGTTTTAACTTTGCTCAAATTAAAACAAATTCAAAAGCTAGAAACCTTGGCTGCAGAAGTAGATAAATTAAGATAGAATTTATGTTGGAAAAGAATCATTTTACTTGTTCTTCTCTTCCTTTTTTAATTAGCTTTCCAAGTTTCTTAAGAAATGTTACAATATACTCTTGTATGCATATATACATAACTATAAAAAGCAGCTTTTGAAATGAAAGACGAATTAACAAACAGAACTCTTGAGAATATGAAAAACTGCTGTTTTGTAAAAATAGAAAGATTCCTTGAAATGATTAAATGACCTTCCATCTGACAAGCTAAAAGCAGATATTTCTATATTTAGATTTAGAGAATTGATTATGTGAAGTGAATATGTACCTGTTGGAGTATCCTGCTGGTCTTCTACTGGTTTTTCTGTATCTGTCATCCACTGTAGAACTTTAAAAGATAGAGACTGCTTGGAAGGATTACTTCCAGTCAATTTCGTTTCAGCCGCTTCCTCTGCTCGTTGAGCATCTTCAGCTCGTTTTGTAGCTTCATTTTCACTAATTAATTTGTACACCTCAGAGTCACGGAAGTCCTTTTTGGGTTTCTCTGGCAATCTGTGGAGCAGAAAAGGTAAATAGGAAAACATTAAAAAATGCATCACTTTGAAGAATTACCGTAATACCCCATCTTCATCCATAATATGCACCCCTAAAATTGTGCTGAAAGTGTGGGGAAAATGCTTCTAATCATGCATAATATGCATCCCTTGTTTGGTAATCAAACCTTATAAATTGTACCTCTCCAATTTCATTACAGCCAGCATTTCCTACTCTTTTTACATTATTCGGACTATTGTTCTCATCTTTGTTGCCATATTTATCACAACATTTCAGCTTTTGTAAACTCCGGCCTTCTTCAGGTGCTTGGAACTCTTACTTAAAAAAATGGTTTTAAACATAGAATAATATTTGTCTAATTTAGTTTTATAATAATTCTTATTTTAGTTTACGGCAATTTTTTCAAGATTTTTTGTAACTGTGCATAATACTCACCCCTGATTTTGCTTATTATTTTTTTAGAAAAAATGCATATTATACATGGGGAATTACGGTACCAAATACTAAAAAGAGAAACAAGAAAATATTTTGTTTTCTTATCATTATTTGTACAAAGAAATGGCATCAAATTAGAAATGTGAATGACCAGCTCTGTTGAGATTTGAGGCATTTACAAAGTAAACGAAACTGAAAAAGAGAAAAGATCATTCCTATTTGTATATTTATCCCCTCATTTCTGTGTAAATTGGCTGCAAAATAAAACCGATGCACACACACACACACAGATACACACAGACAAATGCACACATGCACACATATATAAATATAAAAGTGCACAGAGGTCAAACCCTAACAGTGACAGTCTGTTTTATGCTTAAATGCAATCTTTAGACATGACTTGAAGATTACATTATGCATGAAAGAGACTGTTGATACCTGGTGTTGACCTCTGTGTCCACTTTTATATTTACATATGATCAATCCCTGATATTGAGCACTTTAATAAACATAATATTCCTTAAAACTATATTTTTATCATATTATATATACATATATATATATATATATATATATATATATATATATATATATATATATATAAATATATATATAAAAGTGAACATTAAATTCAAAAGGGCGACAGGCTGTTTCATGACTGGATGCAATCCTCAGGTAGCCTGACGATTGCATCTGGCATGAAACAGCCTGTCGCCTCTAAGTGTTGACTTCAATGTTCACTTTTATATTTATATTTACATACGCTCTATCTCTGATATTGAGCACTTTATCCCATAAATATAGCACACCCTAAAACCATATTTCTTCATATATATATATATATATAAATCAAGAAAAAGCCTTAAAGATCCATTTTTCATTTTGTGAATTTTTGGTCTAAAGAGATGAATATAACAATATTCATGAAATGAATAATAACCAAAATGTATCTTTTTAAAGTTTTTCCTTGATTTATCAAAATGTAATATTTAAATTTACATTGAGCTCTCTCTGGATTAATATCCTCCTTGTAATTATCTCTAACATTCAATTTGGAATTATATATATATATATATATATATATATATATAATATTAGTGGTCAATATATATATATATATATATATATATATATATACATATACACACACACATAAATTCCCAAGAGGATAGAATCCAGGTAGAACTCAATGTCCAGGACAGAGTAAGAATATAATATAAAGGCTCAAAACTCAATATTCCATGGAATATTGGTGTTTGAGCCTTTTATATTATATATATATATATATATATATATATATATATATATATATATACATGCAGTATGAACTACAAGAAGTACAGTACAGGAAAAATTTTATACGCATTTAACCTATTTAAGATTTAATTTTTGAGTAATGCTTATCAAAAAGCAACTTTTGTAAAAATGGCTTTACTTTTTTGTGGATTATACAGTAAAAACCTCTATCTTTGAGAAGAAAAGTGATGTATCACACCTTTCCTAGGGTATTTCTGTGAAATTGAATGCAATATCTGTGGCTGGAATTTGAACTTGGCATGCCAATCCTAATTTCTGTACTAATAATCACTACGATACAAGTAAATACATAAGCAAGTTTGGTTAAACATCAGCAAAATATTATTTGTTTCTGATGTTTTATTAATTTTCTTTTTTATTCTGGCAATTTTTATAATTTCTGTGCAGATTTTGGACATAAATTGGCCAATATCTTTTGAGTATTTTCAGCTTCATAAGCCATTATCAAAAGATTTGTTTATGGATTAATAAGAATTAATCTACACACATGTGATGTGTTCCTGGGTAATTTTTGAATAACACATCATCATGTCAACATGGAGGTCTTGCCAGCTTTTTTCAAATATCAGGTTTTCATACATCAGCTTCTAAGGTGTCTTGTCTTCTTTTGTTGTTATATATTTAATATGTTTCTTACTAAATTAAATTAAATGGATTAATGCCAAATTGTTTATTTTATAGATAAGGCTTCTAAAATTTGTAATTATTTTTTATAATTTATATGATATAGTATTTTTGTTATCTATATATACTTGTCAGATTTCTTGCTGTGTTGGTTGGTGATAATGCAAAATACCATGATTCATTAATTTTAAGAGATGACTACAAATATTAGAAGGTTTAGCATTAACAATATTTCATTCAATTGAAGTGGAAGTTAATATGCTTCCACCTAAATACCATAATTCCCCATGTATAATACACCTTCATCCATAATACGCATACTTAAAATTGTGCTGAAAGTGTGAGAAAATACTTCTAATTCATGCATAATATGCACCCCTTGTTTGGTAATTGTTGTAACCTAGGGAAGGTTACTGAATAGAATAATCACATGAAGATTGGTAATGAATGATAGCAGTCAACTGCTAGAAGTGAGTCAAGTGAATTCCATAATGAATTTCCAACTACAGGATATCTACCAACCACCCCACGCGGTCAGATGTGGCGCAAGGCCAAATTTAATGTGGGGTATCTGAGCCCATAGGCTTGGTCAAAAATTCCCCACAGACCCCATATAAAATGTATAGCCTCATCTGCTTGGGATCTTCAACTGCAGACCAACATACAGTATTTACTACTGTATTTATTTGAATGGGTCATACCCATTATCGTCCGTAGTTATGCTACAGCAGTAATCAGAACCTATAAATTGTACCTCTCCAATTTTATTACAGTCAGCATTTCCTACTCTTATTTTTAAAAAATGGTTTTAAACATAGAATAATATTATTTTAATTTTGTTTTATGATAATTCTTATTTTATTTTACGGAAATTTTTTAGAGATTTTTTTGTAGCTGTGCTACACTCCCCGATTTTACTTGTTTTTTAGAATAAAATGAGTATTATACATGGGGAATTGTGGTATTTAACATCTAAAAAATATAAAATAGATAAATACCAAAATTAAATTTTTCTAGCATAGAACTAAATTGCAGAGAGAATGGATTTGAATGCTAATCATTGTTTATTTTGAAAAGTAGTACTCAAAATCCTAGGGTTTGAATGCTCACCATTAGTACTATCTCAACCATCAAGCAAGATCCACAGAAATGAGATGTACAGATTTTTCCATTTCTTTTCAAAAATACAGAAATTCTTTTAATTAAATGAGAAGTATTAACAAAAATCTATTTAGAGGAAGCAACAAAGAACTAATTAACATGAAAAAGAAACAAAGGCAGATTAAACTAACATTAAAATCTTTCTGTAAAAAATAAATTTAAATTAAACAGTAAAAAGAATTTAGTTGGAAATATTCTGATAAAATTCATGCTAAAAATTCTATGAATTGAAATTATTTAGAATGCAAAACATTTTAAAATAATTTTTTTTTTTTACAAACTCCAGCAGAATTCCCACCCCTCCACCAAAAAAAAAGAGGAAAAAATGTTTAGTAATGAGAAACTAAACTATGTAAATATTGCTTAAAACAAACACCAAAACCAGACAAAACTAAAGCAATAAGTGTGAATGTGAAGAAAAAGTCTCTTGCACACAGCTTGCTTGCACAATGCAGTTGGGATGCCATTCTAGATTTTGAAGATTGCTTGAAGATTTTTTGTAGCACCTGGAAAAAGAGTTTAGTGTTCAAAGAGAAAATAATCATGATATATCATTTGGAAGATAAAAGATTTTCTAGAATGTTTGATAATGTTGTGAAATGAAATGATTTTACCAGTTACAACAGTTTCATCTGAAATGTCTACATTTACAGTTAAGTAGCAAACATTTCTTGTTTAGCACACTTGTTTTCAACCAAAAAGATTTTTTATTAAAGATCTGCCATGTATGCCTAATGGCATCTTTGATGTCTCAAATATTTAACAGTTAACTTCCTCTTTCCTCTTGAAAAACAAACCACTTTTTATAAATGAGGAGTGGGAACAGTATCTGCCTGTGCATGTGTGTGTTTTGTGTGTGTGTGTGTGTGTGTGTGTGTGTGTGTGTGTGTGTGTATATGTGTGTGTGTGTGTGTGCGCGCGCGTGTGTGCGTGTGCGAGAGAGAGAGAGAGAGAGAGAGAGGAAAGAATGACAGCAAGAGGAGGGAGACTTGAATCACGATATATCAATGGATGTAAGCAGGCAAAACAAATGTTACCAATCCAAATAGTAAAAACAAAGTTTTTTGCTTGTATTTTTACCTTTGTTGTAAATGCATACAGACATGTGCAATGTGCATAGACAGATATTCAAACATGTTTGCATGTGCAAGAAATTATTATGGATACAATAAGGCAATATTCATGCATGTATATATAATGGCTCTGTGTGTAATATTTTATACATTTATCCTCAAGACACACACACACACACACATAGACTTATGCATATTTTACTTTCACATATCAAAGTCGCTGATGTGTATATCATTATTTACATCTACAGTGTATTACAAACATGCAAAGTTCAACTAAAAATTATACGTAGCTTTGTATATTTATAAAGTACTTACCTTTATCTATTACATGCATATATGTGTGTGTAAATATATAAATAAATATATATATATATATATATA